GTGCTGTGGCCCCAGGTTTGAAGCAGATAAACGCTGTCTCCTGGAGTTGGGGTGCAGGACAGTTGTTACGGCACCACACATGGTGATGCAGGGGTGGCAGTTGTTTGGGAAATTACTCCACTTGGTTGGAGGACAGGAAGGTCCTTTCTCTGTTCCCAGCTCCCCCAGCATGTCTCATCTCTGCCCATCATCTTAGCTCTCTGTGCAGTTCCAGGCTTTGGCAGCTGTAGACTCCTATGAATCCCAGTGAGAATTTGCCCAAGATACGGTCAGGGCAATAGCCCAGCTATAAAGTTGTCAGTTACTGAGGACTGGATGGCATTAAGGACCACTTATAAATTCTTAGCAAAATGGTGCTATTAAAGTTGGGTAGGGAAAAGTCTCCAGTGTAAGGAGATGCTTGGTGAAATATTTAGGCATAGAGTTTCAGGATATCTGTCATTTATTTTATAATATAGGTATATATGTACTAATATGGTGATTATCCTTATATAACTATCTATAATAACTAGGCCCAGCTATCCTAAATGTGCAAAACACAGGGAAAAATTATACTGACTCTTAAGTGGTAACAATATCAACGTTCATTGTCCTACCCCTTCAACTTTTCTAAATGTCAGAACAAATTTGTAGTCAAAATTCAACAAAACGACTCCAGAAACTGAACAAATATTACCTATAATGCTACCCCCAAATGTCAGACGACTTTGTGTTCTTTATTTAGGTAATTATACTTTTGTGTATTGTAACAAAACTTTCTATTGAGAACAGACATTTCTTTTGAAGGCACAAAGCAAGAATTCTTCTGAAACATAATTTTGACCCAGAATTTTGAAACCCATTATGCATCTCACTCCCAAACTATTGTTTGAGCCTTCATGACACTGAAGGAAGGATCGGGGGGATTTATTTTTACTTGCTAATTCATGTAGAATCAGTGCTAATTTGAGCTATAACTGGTGGTGCTGGGGTTGGGGATATCAGAGTCTATGTTGGGGTTGCAGATGGGACACGTGTGCTTCCCCACCGAGCTTGCTCCCACCCCTTTGACTATTTCAGTGAAGCAAGTAGCTGATGCTGTTGGCTAGTCAAGGCGTGAAATTTTGAAATAAGTGTTAAAAATGTTCAAAGGAAAATAACTAGGCCTGGGAGGTGGCTCAAAGGACTGAAGCAAATGCTTTACACACTTGAGTCTGCATGCTCTCCCGAGCGCTGTGCTGAGATCGAGCTCTGAGCATTGCTGGGTGTGGCCCCCAAAACCAAATGGAGTGGGGGGTTCTGTTTACATCTTTTTCTCTCTCCCTCTTGGTCACTTTCTCTTTCTGTCTGTCTCTGTCTGTCTCTGTCTCTGTCTGTCTCTGTCTCTGTCTCTCTGTCTCTGTCTCTCTCTCTCTCTCTCTCTGTCTCTCTCTCTCCCTCTCTCTCCCTCCCCTTCCTTTTTTATCAGCACCCAGCAGTACCCAGAGGCTGACCCTGGGGCTGCCTCATGAAAAGCATGTGTCCAGCCTCGATTCATCTCTCTGGCTCTGTATGCCTGATCTTAAGGGAGAAAGAGCTGTCTGCCCTCACCGTGTGGGAATAAACCCTCATATAGATTTTGGCGTCCGCAGGAAGTCGCGTGGGACCTGTCTAGGAGCCAGTGTCTCTGTTTCCCCACTTAGGAAATGAAATAATGATACCTCCCAACCAGCAAATGAGGCCCCCAGAGCCGCATGCTCCGCCTGTCGTGGGCGTGCTATTATTACCCATGTCTGATCTGAAAAAGATACAGAGCCGAGATAGTAAGTGACTAGAATACCCTGGTGCTGAGTGGACCAGTTCTGGACAGAGAGTGCTGGGAAGTCTCCATCGTTATAGACCTGTCAGGCTCAGCAGCTCTCCCCTGGCCTTCGGGACTCTGCACACCAGGGATTCCAAAACTGCCTCATAGCTCCGAGCACTGGTGCATGCTTGGACCTTAGATCATTCCTTGTTCTTAAGATCCATCAATTACTTCCTGCTGGTTACTCTGCTGGTGGGCGAATAACCCTTAGGCTGAGCAACCCTCCAGAGCAGCCTCCCTCACCTGGAGGGCTGCTGTGTGGCCGCTCTTTCTGCCTTCACTCCTGAGGGCCTCTTCTGGAAATTCCTCTTCACAAGTGACTATTTCCTGGTTTTTCATGCAAAGAACGTTGAAGGAGAGATTTTGGCCACAAATCTGATATTTCTAGAACTTTTTGTTTTGGTAGGAACCCAAGCAGTGCCAGTGAGCCACTTCAGGCCATCCACGGACAGCCTGACCCGAAGTTCAGTGCTCAGGCTGAGGCTATGAAGCTGTTTGGCCATGTGGTGCTCGGGGCCTCTAGGTTGCACCTGACCGGGACTGGGGGCTCTAGGATTGCACCTGGCCAGAGCTGAGGCTCTAGGCTGTATCTGGCCAGGGCGGAGGGTGCTAGGCTGCACCTGGCTGGTGCTTGTGGCTCTAGGCTGCACCTAGCTGGTGCATGGGATGTGCAGTATAAGATTTCTAATCTTCTGCATGCAAAGAGTGTGCTCCTGACCACGGAGCTACCTCCCCAGGCCCTCCATCCTCCCTTTATGCTAAGGGACTATTATCTTGGACTTTGTCATGCATGACACAGTGACCACAGCCTCCCAGCCACAAAGCCTGCTTGTAAACTCTTCCCAGTGGGTGGCCAGTCCCTATGTGAAAGGCTCCCCAGTGACTTCCTGCTCTGGGTTCTGCTTCCCTGAGGGTCCTCCCTCTCCTTCTCGCTTTCCTGTGCTGTTGGTGTGCGATGCCCCGATGCCCAGGTGGTGACACAGCAGCAGCTCACTCATCTTCATCACAGTTTCCATCACTCATCTCCATGGCCACCATCAGGTGAATATGCCTTTTTTTTTTTCAGTCCCCAAACTGGTTTCTAACCTTAGAAAAAGCTCCACATAGTGACCACACCTGTTTTTAACAATAACAGAAACATTTGGCGTGAAATCCGAGACAAAGACATGATGAAATCTGATGCCTGCCTGGTGGCTGGCTGTGGTGCTCCATGGCTTCATGGGCTTCACTGCATGCAGGCTCGCCAGTGCTCACGCTTCTCAGTGGAGGTCTCAGCTGGGGATGCGGTGCAGCTGGGCTGGCTCTGGCTTAAGGGCTTGCACCCTGCTGGGGCACGTGCCCGTCATGTCTCTTAAGCTGTGGTGCTGTCTTTTGTGGCATCCGCACACACCTGTGTGTAGTGTCAGAGCTGCTGGGACCATGCTTGATGCATGTGGGACCCGGAATTTGAACTCGTGACCACACTGAGCCCTGTGCTCTCCCTTCAGGCCCCTTGGGGAGTCCAGTTGTAAAAACCATTTGTATGTGGGTATCAAATGAGAATGTATGTTAGCAGGTGGAGGCATAGATCACCATTGCCCCCAGAGTATAGGGAGAAGGGAAGAAATAGAGGGACAGGGAAGAGGAGAAGGGATAGATGAGAAGCAACAGGGCAGGGATCGAAGGGATCCAGGTGTGTTTAGTGGTGGGAAGGGACAGCAGAGTTAAATAGCCAAACCACAGAATCAACACCACTGAAATCATGAGACCCAAGCCTCAATAAACAAATTTAAGAGGTGTCTGTCAAGGTGGCACGGGGCTGGTGTGGGCTGTAGGGGAGAGAACCTGGGAACACGGGTGAAGGGACGTTTACACGGGTGGCGGGATTGGTCATGGAACCTTGTATGCCAAAAACCCAACTCTGAATAGCTTTGTAATTCACGGTGCTTTAGTAAAATAAAATTGGGAGAGGGAGGAGGAAGAATGTATGTGGATACTAGAGAACTCGCCATCTCTGTTACCTTCGTTCTTTTTCATTCACATGGTCCCACCCACCTCAATCCAGGCTGTGATGCTGCCCAAGGGGAGGGGGTGAGACTTTGTAGTTTGGCTTTGCTGAAGGTGCACAGGGTGGGCTCAGGATGAGCTTTCTCCCCTGTGGACTGGGGACGTCCCAGGCATGCTCAGGAGTCCCCAGGGGCCCTGCAGGTGGTTCTCGGCCGCTGCAGGTAACGCAGCCCGGCTGGCAGTTGGATGCAAGGACTAGAGTATGTAGAGCAGCTCAGGGCCTGTGGGGCTGGGGCCACAGGGCCACCCTGGCAGTGCTGGGGCCTCAGATTCCACCTATGATGCCTACGGGGTCGTGCAGTGCCTGTATCAAACCCCCATCAGCGCCCCAGCCCCAGCAATGAACTTCGTAGTTTCTGAGATTTAGACTTCCGGTTTCCATTGTCGTGCATAGCCCACAGTGTGTCTGAAATGAAAGGATTCTTTGTGCCCTTCTTTTTAGTAACATACACAATTTTTTAATTTCTCTAGCAAATTCAATAGCGTTCCTGACTCATGTTACCCTATTATCAAAATAAATGAGCCCCGAAGCCACTGAGAGCTTTTGTGGCACATCAAGGCATTCACATCATCCCTGCGAGAACAACCATTGTTTCTGGGTGCAATTCTGAAGGCCAGATTGAGCCAAAGGTTCCTGCCCGCCATGCTCCTTCTTGTCTGCATTGGTGAAGGCCCTGGGTCTGGTCAATGTTCCAGCAGTGGTGAATATTCCCTGGGAGGCCCAGGGGGCCCCGGGGACACTCATGGCCTAGCAAGGCTGTGTCCTGCCCAGATTCAGGCTGCCAGGAGGCTTCCCTGCACCTCTGGGCTCAACACAGTCCTTAGCTGCGCCCACCCCCCCCATCCATTCGGACCAGATGCCTCCCACGAAGACAGCTGGGGCTTCAGTTACACCCACATTTAGTGGGAGCCGAGATGCCGGCTTGGGATTGCTGTCCCGACTGATTCATTACCCCCTAATGAAGGTCTGCAGGGTCCCTGGAATCATGGCACGATCACATTCTCATGAGGAAGATTATAGCACCTGGTTTTTAAAGTCTGTGCATTTGCCCTTGGGATTAAGTGACAGGACACTATCTCTATCACCTCCTTCTTTTAACACTACCTTTTCTCTTTTTAAAATATTTTCTAGCATGTCAATGAAAAAAACAATGGATTGTCTTCCAAACCGGGAGAGAAGAAAAGCACCGATGAGGTAAATTTCAAAAAAACAGAGTTTCTTTTCTCTCTCTCTCTCTCTCTCTCTCTCTCTCTCTCTCTCTCTCTTGCTTTTAAACGGCGGATTCTGGCTCACTTTCAAACTATGAACTCTGACTTGGAGCTTGAAGGAAGGAGAGCACAAAGAGGGCCCGCTGAAATATTGGCCTGCTGAGATTTAACTGTGATTGAATTCCAGTTACATGAAAATCATTGAAAATCTAAAGAAAACAAAGTGTTCCTGGAGGAGGAAAGTTTGGAAACAGTTTCTATTTAAAAATTAATCTCCATGGTTGTAGATTTAAAGGAGAAAACCAAGAGAAAGCAGAAAAGGAAATGGTTTTGTGTGGCGGCAGAGATAGCCTGGCTTAACTAGTCGTTCGAGTTCAGAAACGTAAAGGACAGCGAGTGAGAAGGATTTTTTTTTAAATTTTATTGAATCACTGTGAGAGTTACAAGCTTCATGTTTGGGTTACAATCACACAATGGTCAAACACCCATCCCTCCACCAGTGCACATTCCCCACCACCAATATCCCCAATATACCCCCCCTTTCCCACCCTCCCCCTGCCTCCATGGCAGACATGATTCCCCATAATCTCATAATCTCTCTCTACTTTTGGTCATTATGGTTTGCAATACAGACACTGAGAGGGTATCCTGTTTGGTCCTTCATCCACTTTCTGCACACATCTCCCATCTGGACCAATTCTTCCAGCCATTTTTATTTTTTTTTTATTTTTTATTTTTTTTTGGCAATCCTGAGAAGGATTTTTTTATTTGGGCGGGCTCTGTGAAATACTAGTAGAATGGAATCTCCCCACTTGCAGATGAGTTTGTTTTCTTTCTTCTTGTATGTGTTGGGCCACCCCTGCTGGCGTTCAGGGACTGTTCCGTACTTGGTTCTTAGGGGTCACGCGCCCTCATGCTCAGGGGACCAGATGGTGCTGGTCTGGAGCCCGGGCCTTCTGCTTTCGGCCGGCCTGTGAAGCTCTTGCCGCTGAGCTGGGGGTTCTTTGGTTTGTGCGTTTCTCCTGTCACTGCATCATGCCCCACGTACACAGAAATAGGGCCAGTTCTCCCTGGACAGCCACAGGACCTTGCCAGGCTGGATTTGCCCTCCGTTAGCTGACTTCCATGTTCAGGGTCTCAGCAGACGAGTTCACTCCCTCAGTTCAGAGAGCCTGTGTCATTTCTAGCCTGTAAAACTGCCAGGTCCTGAAAGGCAGGTAGAACTTTAGAAAACGTGTAAAAAATATCAACATGCATGGAGACCTGCGTGGCTAGAACCTGCTCTGAATTGCACTCAGGGTTACTCCTCTGCTTTTCACCCTTCTCCCCTCTACCAGCGCCTGTGAGACTGGAACTGAGCTCGTGTTTTATGTTCATTCATGGATTTTTTTTTTTTTTGCTTTTTGGGTCACACCCGGCGATGCACAGGGGTTCCTCCTGGCTCTGCGCTCAGGAATTACCCCTGGTGGTGCTCAGGGGACCATATGGGATGCTGGGAATTGAACCCGGGTCGGCCGCATGCAAGGCAAACGCCCTACCCGCTGTGCTATTGCTCCAGCCCCCATTCATGGATTTTTTTTTAAGAGTTATCTTGGCAGTTCTGCGGGTCCGTGTGGTCCCAGGGACTAACTCAGGGTCTTGCACCTATGTGTGTTCTCTATCACCTTATCCCTGCTCCCTTGAGGTCATACCTTACTAAACAGATTTGTGCTGATTTCATACCCATGAAAAGCAAATTTATACCATTCACTCCCTGACTCAACTCTACTACCTATCAAATAATTTCGTTTTTGAAGACAATCACATTTCTTTGCTCTCCAAATAAGGAATAACGATTTTTGGATGTAAATTCTGTTAATATTAATCAATATTTTGTTATTTTTCCTCCAAAAGAAATCATTTACAGTAGTGGTCAAGAAGATAGTAGGCTCATCCTTAGAGCATCATTCTTATCATCCAACCCTTTATGTTGCTACATAATACTTGAAGTTCTAATACTATTTCTCCAATGTAGGGAAGTCACAGTTTAGGGAACAGCTCTCTCTACGTTCGGTTTCTACCTAAAGCAGTTTTAGAGTCTGCATTATTAGGAACCTTTCGAAGACCTTGGGAAGACTTATGAGGGGCTGTTCCCGGTAGAGCCCAGGAGAAATATAGCTTTCCTCATCAGCAGAAACAGGCTGTATGATCCATCTGCTGTGGGAAGGCTGAACTTCCACCTGAAGAAGATGGAATTTTTCTTCTTTTTCAGCAGTTCCAATTTCAAGAAATTCCAATACTGTTTCATAACCCTGCTGAGAAATACGGACTTCCAACTCCTGCATCTGTGCCAGAGACTAGCTGCTCCTCAGTTCTGCCTCATCCCAGCCAGCACAGGCCAAGGAGAACAGAGGCTATGTGCTGCCCCTGTGGTGGAGAGATCCGTGTAGGCGGAGATAGCAGGGTGTTCATTATCTCCCAGTTCTGCCCACATCTAGGTGCTAGGGTGGGCAGGCAGTGGGCTGGTGGCTGCGTAAATTGAGCCCATAGGATGTCCGCAGAGAGTCATGCTTTTTTTTTTTTTTAACTCTTTGGGTCACACCCGGTGATGCTTAGGGGCTAACTCCTGGCTCTGCACTCAGGAATTACTCCTGGAGGTGCTCGGGGGAGCATATGGAATGCTGGGAATTGAAATCGGGTCAGCTATGTGCAAGGCAAACACCCTACCCGCTGTGCTATTGCTCCAGCCCCGTCTCTCATGCTTTTTGTCATGTGCAAATAAGTCACCAATAAGATGCTTTGTCTACAGAGAAGATTCAAGAAAAGCACTTTGCATCGGTACCACTGTGGTCTTTGTGTTCATGGTTCTGAAGTCATGTGTAGTCTGCACTTGTTCCATGCCAGGCCTACTCGCATCTTCTCTTCCTCCTGGTGTTAGCAGGGAAGGCATTCCCCAATGGACACTTTCTCCCCAAAACTTTCTGGTTTCTGTCACTGTTGAAGATGAAGTGAGATTAAGAAGCTTTTTCTTGGCTTGAATGAGCCATCTTCAAACTGGCTTCTGCCTCCAGTTTACATTGTCCCCCAAATATAAACAAATATTCTGGTTTGGCTTCCGAGGGTTTAAGCAGGTACTGAGACAAATTTAGTCTGAACATATTTGGTTTCTGTCCTCCATGTATTTCTTGGCACTTTTTCCTGTTGGATTTCATCTGGAGGTGCAGGAAAAAGGTTACAGAAGAGGACGTTATAACCAAGAGAAAATTTGATTCGGGTTCTATAAGAGCCACTGTCGCTTGGTCACTTGTGAATATCTGAAGTTGAGTTCAGCTGTGAACTTCAGAGCTTTCCACCCTGCCATTAAGTTTTCCTTTTTTACCAAACGACTCCTACACAACTAGCTAATCCTGCATGTCTGGAGAAACTTTGGTAGACTCTCTCCACTAAAATGTCACTGCCCATATTGCACTAGCAACGTCTTACTTTGAGGATGTACTCGAGGAAATGTCAGTGAGAATGTCTTTGTTTATGCGAATCACTATGGCTTGGTTAAGTCCTGCTCAGATATTGAGGAATTTTTGGACCCAATGTTGCATGGACTATCCAAGATCAAATGACTATAGACAGGAAAAAGGAAGATGGAAACATTTAACCTCAGAATCTTTAAATACAGCCGGATGCAGACGGCCTTCCAAACCTGCAATCACATCTATTTAAAGTGCCTCACTGACGCATGAGGCCACAGTAAGGGACTGTGAGCACATCAGCAACATGCTTCAGCATGGTTCTGAGGGGTAGGAAGCACAGGATGGGTATATCTTACAAGCCAATTCTAATAAATTAAAAGTTAATGAAGAGGGGCCAGAGTGATACTACAGTGGGGAGGGTATTTGGTGACCCAGGGTTTGAAATCTGGCATCCCTTATGGTCTCCCAAGCCTGCCAAGAGTAATTCCTGAGTGCACAGTCAGAGTAACCCCTGAGCATCACTAGGTGTGGCCCAATCTCTCCAAAGTTAATAAAGAATAATATAAATATGAAATATATAAAACAAACAAACACTGTCCTCCCGTTGTTCATCGATTTGCTCGAGCGGGCCCAGTAACGTGTCCATCGTGAGACTTGTTGTTACTGTGTTTGGCATATTGAATACATCACGGGGAGCTTGCCAGGCTTTGCAGTGCGGGTGAGATACTCTCGGTAGCTTGCCGGACTCTCCGAGAGGGGTGGAGGAATCGAACCCATCTTGGCCGGGCTGGCTTCGTGCAAGGCAAACGCCCTACCACTGTGCTATATATATAAATAGATTAGAAAATTGTGCCTTAAAATAAAAGATGTTTTCCCGCTTTCTACCCTCCCCCTCCCTTCTTCCTTCCCTCCCTCCTTTCCTTTCTTTCTTTCTCCTTTCTTTCTTTCTTTCTTCCTGGCTATGCACTCAGGAATTACTCCTAGTGGTGCTTGGGAGACCATATGGGATGCCAAGATTGAATCTGAATCAGCCCACCTGCAGGGCAATTACCTTACTCACTGTATTCTCTCCAGCCCTGAGATACGTTTAGTTTTTCATTGGTGGCTTTCCTTTTCCCAGTATTGACTTCTTCTGTCTAAAAATGCATAAATAATGTATTGAATGACGCCAACATTTTAAAATTTGTTCCTCATTTTTTTCCTTAGTGACATCTATCTCTTTTAATCACAAGGGCAATCTGTGCTTCTAATTTTTCTTTATGCCTGAATTTTAGTATGATCCGTTAATAGTTACTAAAACTCAAGCCAGGGAGCTAGCTCGAGGGCCGGTGTGCACATCAAGTCCCCCATCCCCAGGCCCCATGGGGCCGCAATCACTTCTTAGCACCTGAGTGTGTCCAGACACATACACACACTCACACACATATTTATGCAAGCACACACATACTTATACACACATACACACACTCACACATACATAGTTATATACACATATACTCACACACATCTCCACGTGCACACACATTCGTATACTCACACTCACACACACACAGTTACCAGTGTCACTATCTATACAATTATGAATACACGATAATTCCACACTAATAAGAATAAACATAAAAGTGTAATTATTAATTGTCATTCCTGGGTTCTTTCCTACAAATCGAGCCTCCAATTCCTGAGTGTTCTAATTGGAATTCAAGGAACAGAATTTTTTGAGCCTTTAGTACATTCCAGAAATGTATTTCTCTGAAGTGTGAACTTAGCAAATGCAGTTTTGAAGAAAACATTCCTCATAGGAAATCAAAAGCTAAAATGATCTCAGAATCATTCCCCACTTTTGGTTTCACTTAGTCCTTAGGATAAAAATTGCTTCTGTGTTATAGCCTTTTAATCACATTTCCTGCTTATTTTTTAAAAAAAAACACAAGATTCTATAAAATCTGGAGCTATGCATTGCTCTTATTCACTCATAAAAATGGAACAGAAAGTTGACTGACTACATTTTAAAGTGATATATTTAAAAGCTAATAAGGGTTCTTACTGCAAGCCACAAAGACAAGAGCTTGCTGAAATTTGTGTCAGATGTGATGACATGAGTTCACCCAGCTGCGAATTGTACAGTGCAGGAGACCTCCAGTGGTGGGAAGGAGGCTGCGGGCCAGTGTTCAAAAGAAAGACGGAATGAAGTATTTCTTATCTCAGCAGAGATAATGCTTTGTGGCTTTATCTTCTGAAATAGTGTGCATGTGTGTTTTAAAACACACATGGGGCTTGGTTTTGAGACCATATCTTTCCAATTGCCCTGAGTCAGAAGAGTAAGATTTTTAGGGACAGCCCTTTGCTTTTTGTCAAAGGAGTTAGGGGCATGGAGGGAAACTAAGTCATGACAGAGTGAGCCACAAGGAGCAGAGTTCTTCTGATTCCTAGTCAACACAGTCCTTGTAGATACAAAAGTCACTCAAGGACTTTCACTGGCAGTGATGTGCAGACAATGAATGATCGGAAACAAAGCATATTCAGAAGTGTCTACTGCGGTGTGTTATGAAGGCCTTTGTGTCTGGGATGTTTCATCTGATAGGTGAAAATTCTATATCATAGTGTGTATCAGTGACAAGACTTGTTCATTAGGGCCTCTCATGCTTGGTAGGGCTCCCTGCTGCTCTGCCTCAGTGAGCATATTCTGTTACACTTCTGTTAATAGAAGCAACCCATGCTGATTTGCAGACTACTTGCAACCACGATGTAAAGAAACGTTTGTGAATAAGAGTAAGAGTGTTAAAATTGCCGGGGTTGGGCAATCTGTCTATCTTTTTGACAGGTAGTCTTTTTCTAAACATCATTTACCAATAAGCATGTGTTTTCATGTGCAAACATCATATACTTCTTGCCATTTTACAGGATGATGGTTAAATAATAAAATTGGTTTGTTAAAAATTTTGCCAAAACATATTTCTGATGAGAGCTTTCTTTTCTGAATAGCACTACATTTTGTGAAGTGTAAGAGACCATGGGTTTAAAAATGCACCAATTGGAATCAATTCAATTAGTTCACCCTGACCAAAGCACTCTTACAGTGCTTTTCAGATGCTTCTGTATGCAAGAAGTATGAAGCAGGAAAGAAAATAGTAACTTCAGAACCATAAAAACCAGAGTAGTCTGAAAATCTGAAAATTTAAGATTGTTCAAATGCTTAATTCCACCTTTGCATTCAGAGCACAAACAGACACTTCATTCTTTCTGCCTGAATCTTTTTTTTCCCCCTAAAATCAATATTATCCTGACTGGTAGCCTTCCAATATGTATGAAATATGATGAAGTTTTGGTAGTTTCAACAGTTCTAATCTCTATTAGGAGGCTACACATTTATCTTGCTTCTAAGGATAGTCGAACAATGTCTTGAAGTTCCTGAAGATAGTACAGCAAACAGGTCTTCAAAAGTGTCTTGGACAAGTATTTGAGTATCTCAGCGGCCTAACCACTGAGGATTTTGATATTTATTTAATGAGAAAGTTGTTGTGCTTGTTAAAGTCTGTCTCACAGTAATTCAATTAAAAAGTTTTTTAAAAAAGTTTTGTTTTTTTTTTTAAAAAGAAAGTTGTGCATTTGTTTGCTGAGAAATCCTGTGACCTGCCTGAGTGTGTTCTGGACCATAATAGATAGACCATCCAGATAGAGGGCCCTGCACCTTAACTTTCCTAAGGCTCTGTTGGGGGTGTGGGCGTGCTCTGGTGGAAAGGAGATACTTGTCAACATGGCCATCTGCAGAAGAGTTATGGGGTTGCAGAGCCTCTGTTTAGCTTTGGGCAGGGACAGATGCAGGTGGAACGATTTCACTGGAAATATTTATGAGGCAGGAATCTAAAAACACCATCCAAGAGAGTCCAAGAGATTGCAACGGATGTCACGCACTTGCCTTGCGTGCAACTGACCGGGGTTCGATCTAGCACCACATACTGTTCCCCAAACTTCTCCAGGGGTGATCCCTGAGCACAGAGTCAGGAGTAAGACCTGAGCGCCACAGGGTGTAGTCCCCAACTTCTCTCCACTCCCACCCAAAACCTATCTCCCCTCATTCTTCTACCTGCGGACTCTCTCATGGTATCAGTGTAAGGACTGGCAGCTCTGCCAAGCAGTAAATAAATAACAGTTGTTTTCTATCTGTCTACACCTGCAGCCAGTGCTGGTTATTGCACGTAGGACCTTCCTTGTGCTTGACCCCTTCCCCACTTTCATTGTTCTACAGCAGTAGGGCATTTGCCTTGGACGCAGCCAACATTGCCGACCCGAGTTCGATTCCTCTGCCCCTCTCGGAGAGCCCGGCAAGCTACCAAAAGTATCTCGCCTACATGGCAGAGCCTGGCAAGCTACCCGTGACGTATTCGATATGCCAGACACAGTAACAACAAAGTCTCCAATGAAGACGTTACTGGGCCCACTCGAGCAAATCGATGAACAACGGGAGGATAGTGACAGTGACAGTTCCTTAATCATGAGTAATGGCGAGCACTTTTTCATATGCTCTTTGCCATGCGGATGTCCTTGTTGGGGAAGTGTCTGTTCTTCTCCTCGACCCTTTTATAGATAGAGGCATTGGATTCACATCCTTGTACATTGAGTGGTGGTATGACACTGAATTCTGCTCTTCTTCAAGATTGAATAATGAGCAGTTGGGAGTTTATCGACATGGTTTTCCTTTTCAACATTTATGTAGTTTGGGCAAAGGTATGAATAAGTTAGAATCGGGTTCATTTTTGCGCCTAGTTTATTAATGTGCTTATTTAACTTGAGAAGATATTTGAAGCGATGCAAGAATATTTACTTGGCCACATTGTGAAGCTGTTCTCCCTCACTAAAACTGATCTTTTCTATTTTCAAGAAAAGAGCAACAAGCTTTGGAAGCAGTCAGCCCTCCAGAGGCCATGCTGGTGCCGCCCCAGGTCCCAGGGTAAGTCATTTCTGTTTGTGAAAATACTGGGTGCTAGTCACTATTCGGAGCTGAGAGCCGGTGTCGTTTCACTTCTGGGGACAACACGGTTGGATAATCGAAAACCTTCCCAAACTGCATCTCATTTGCCCTGACATACAGAAACGTGCATTTTCAATAATCTGATCAGGGTCCTTGGCATGCTCACCCACATATGATCAAGTATTCTTCGGGGATGAAATACTTCAAAGCTTTGCACCTTATAAAAACCACTAAAGTTTGCCCTTTCAAGATAAGAAATCATAACCCTAGCTGGTAGTTTTTAATATATGATAGTTATGTTAAGCCCTTTTAGGTATATGTCTTCCAATATGTTTAAGATAATCAGAAAACATACCCTAACACATGCTTGCTCTACAACTGTTTTAAACAATCAATTTATCCTTTAAAACCAGCAACTCGGGGCCTGGAATGATAGTACAGGTGGTAGGGTGTTCACCTTGCATGTGGCTGACACGGGTTCGATCCCCAGCATCTTATATGGCCCCTTGAGCACCACTAGGAGTAATTTCTGAATGCAGAGCCAGGAGTAACCCCTGAGCATTGCCGGGTATGACCCAAAAAGCGGTACTACTAGCTCTTTGGTCCAAGACTGTAAACTTTGAAGAAAGATGTCAAGACATTTAGGAAGAGTATCAGCACAAAGCCAGGCTTTACTGTTTTAGCAAGTCCAGCTGATGCTCCCTGGGAGGGTTCCCACTTACTGGAGGGCGCAAATTCACCGCAGGTCCGCAGAGCACTTAGCCCTGAGTTCAGCATCTATCGGATGCAGAGAAAATAGACTTCTGCTCAGATTATTCTGGGGAGTCAGCCACTCCCTGTGGTGCTTGGAGGCCACTAGGACTGCAACCAGCAGGCCTGTGGGACTGAGGACTACGGGGGTTCACCCATACCATAACTGAGCTCCACCTGGAGCTGCATTCCTGCCACTCCCACTGCCCCCCCCCCCCCCCACCTCTGACTTTCTTCTCAATACTCCGGTCTGTTGTTTGGACATGTCCAACTAAAGATAATTTTCTAAGCATATGGAAATTAAAAAAAAAATTCAAGTGAGTCACTATAAGATACAGTTACAAAGCTTTCCTGTTTGAGTTTCAGTCATACAGTGATTGAACACCCAACCCTTCACCAGTGCACATATTCTAACACCAATGTCCCCAATATTCCCCTCATCCTACCCCTCCCCCTGACTGTATGGTAGATAATCTCCCCCACACTCTCTTTTATATCACTTCTTACGAATAGCACGCGATGTCGCACAGCCGAAAGGGTGGCTATGTGTTCCTGTAATTCCAAGATTTTAGCTAATTAGGGTCTGGAGAAATCTCTGCAGTGAGCTGCTCAGTTCAGAGATTCTTTTGAGTGTCTCTGGATCATGGCCATTATGGAGCTTAAGTAGCAGCCAGAGGTAGTTTGTAGGCTTGACCTTCAGGGTCCCATGGGGGGGTGGGGGGATGAAAGGGACTGGGCTATCCCCTAACCCTTGAGGCCTGGAGTTTAGCATGTGGAATATTATCAGTATGGTACCTCAGCTTGGCTTCTACCTGGGATGCTTCTGAAAATGAGATGCAGAATGAGCGAGATTCCAAGCCAATATTACCAGGGTTGTTGCTTCCTAAAATTTCAGAGCACAGTGTGAATGTCCACTTGGCTGTATGGAAAAATTGGACTCTTCTTTACCTGGGGGTGAGGGGCGGGAGATAGTACTAGGATTGAAGCACTTATCTAGCATGTGGTCGACCCAGATTTGATCCCCAGCACCACATGGTTCCCTGAGCACCACTGATGCATCCGTGGAGGCTCCAGAGCCACTGTGGGGACAGAGGTGTCCCTGGCACCACAGGACCCAGCCCTGCATTTTTGTCCCCTTGCACTGAACCTGATTGCTGAGAATCACCGGAAGGGGCCCTGGGGTTCCCAAGCACTTTTTGGAAGTCTGCACCCTGCAAAATCCCCAGATTCATCCTGCCTTCGGAGAAGAGAGATTAGAGAGACAGTGGCCCTCAAGCCCACCCTGTTGGGAATCTGGCAGGGTTGGAGCTGGAGCCCGAGAGGTTTTGGCCACATGTTCAGCATTTTAGTATTTAGTGGCAAACGTGACATCTCCTTGGCTTCTAGCTACTGTCCCTGCACATGTTCTTCCCCACTATAATTTCCTGATTTACTTCCCTTCCGGTGTTAAAATCTGAATACTTTCTTTGGGGTCTTGCTTTTTTCCTTTTCGTTTCTTTGACTCTTCAGAGTGAAGAAGAAGATGACCATTTCTTTGCTTTTTTTTTTTTTCAACTCTCGACTGGAAGGGCTTTAACTTGGTGTCATCATTAATAAATTGTGTAAGAGTATATGTGTGAGTGTGAGTGAATGTGTGAGCACAAGTGTGAGCGTTTGAGTTTGTGTGAGTGTGAGAGTGTATGTATGTGAGGGCATATGTGTGTGAGCGTGTGTGAATGGGCGTGAGAGTATATGGAAGTATGTGAGTGTATGTGAATGAGAATGTGTGCATATTATGAATGATTCGGAGTGTGTGAGTGTGTGAGTGAGAGTGTGGGAGTGTGGGAGTGAGTGAGGATGAGTGTGTGAGACTGTGTGAGAAAGTTTGTGAGAGTTCGTGTGTGAGAGAATGTGTGAGAGTTTGTGAGTACGTGGGAGTGTGAGAGTGTGAGAGTTTGTGAGAGAGTGAGAGCATGTGAGTGTGAGTGTATGAGGGTGAGAGTGTGTGAGTATTTGAGTGTCTGAGAGTGTGTGTGTGTGAGTGTGAGTGTATGAGGGTGAGAGTGTGTGAGTATTTGAGTGTCTGAGAGTGTGTGTGTGTGAGTGTGTGAGAGTGAGTGTGTGAGAGTGTGAGAGATTTTGTGAGAGTGAGAGTGTGTGAGTATGATTGTGTGAGAGAGTTTGTGAGAGAGTGAGAGTGTGTGGGAATGTGTGTGTGTGAGTGTGAGTGTGTGAGAGTGTGTGAGTGTGTGAGGCGGGGTGTCACGCACATGAGGCTTGTGCAGCTCTGCTGAGCTACATTCCAGCCTCAGTATCCATTTTACCAAATCATCATTCCCAGGCATCATTTAGAAAAACTTGGGGACAGTGACACTGGTGGTCCCTGGAAGCCTTTTATTATAGGCAGGACAATATTCTCCCAACACATTCAGATATAATTAGCCTTGACAGTCAGCCCTGGGTTTCTGGCTCAGGTTGGACACATCCCACTTGAGTCAAGTAAGCAGTCATGTTATCCTTGTGATTAAAACCTCAGAGTCGGGCTTAAGGCACACATTTCTTTCAAGCTCATGTGTGAGCCGTGTGTTGCAGAGTGGCTGCCAGCGATGGATTATGCGAGTTCTGAGCAAATGAGCGCGTGTGTCCTCCAGTAGAATCACTTAGCCAGGCACTTCTGGAATTGGGATTTCAGGAGTGTTTCAGGGATAGAGATATGCCCAGTGCAAAGGAAATGTAAGATGTGAGTGCCAGAGTGCAAGCTTTGATGACGGAATGAGGAAAGGCACTGAGGCTGCAGCAGCTGGAGAGATTCAGAGCAGATAACTGGAGCTCTCATGGCTGGTCCATCATGCGTGTTGATTGCTGGACTTGCTCCCTCAGCCTCGTCCAGACCCAGCCTGGATGTGTGTGCAGATTTTTCCTGCAGAAGGCCACAGCTGTGGGACACTGGCCAGGGCCGTTCATTCCCCCTGGGGCTCGCTCTGACAAGCAGAGCATCTTGGGCGTGGCGGGACCCTGTGGAAAAGCCCTCGAGGCCCCCGTGGAGGAATGTGGCCCAGACGATGCCAACGGTACTCCTGTGTTCTCAAGGTCCAGTGCTAGCAACCTTGCTGCGGCCTGTCTCAAAGCTTGCAAAGCCTCTTCCTTGCTTGCAAAGTCCTGGTGGCTGGGGCTTCCTCGCCGGCTACGTTAGCTGCTCGGTGTCCCATGGACCCGCCAGGAAGGAGTCGGGTGGGAATGATCTGGATCTTTGGGGAGGTCGCCCTGCTCCGGGTGAGAGTCTCAGCACAGCTGCCAGCAGACAGGCGGGGAAGGAAAACAGGAAGCCCACAGGGAACTGAAGGGAAATCACAGCAGGCCCTGCAGAGGGGGATAAAAAGCCTCTTGCCCGCAGCTGCTGGGAGAAGCCAGCTAGAGGGGGCAGGAAGCAGCTTTGCTGTGCTGGGTCCTGGGGCTCCCATGAACACCTGCATTCCTGTGCGCCCAGAGCCCTCCCTGCTGCCTTCCTCCCCCCTCCCCCCCAAGACAGGAGCTGGGGCCGCAAAGGTCTGTCCTGGAAGACGCCTGGACTTGTGAGGGGAAGCTGCACGGCCAACAGCAAAGCATCTTAGTTTGGACAACCATGCGCACATTTTATTTTTGTCAAATTATTATTTTATTTCTGATATTTGTTTGTTTGGGGGGGTCACCCCCTGGTGGTGCTCAGTGTTTACTCTGGTCTCTGTGCCCAGGGGTCACCCCTGCTGGTGCTTGGGGAACTGTTTGGGGCATGGGGATTGAACTGGGATCAGCTGCATGCAAAATAAGTTCTCTATCCGCTATATCATATTTGCCCCCTCTTTAAAAATGTATTATCTATTTCTTTTTCAAACTTTTAATCACAGTGATAAAGAGGGGACAGGAGGACTGTTCCATTTATTATCTATTTCTAATGTGAGTAATGGTCCCCAGTACCCCCCACCAAAGTTCACTGTCATCCAACACCCAAATACCCTTCTGCCGACTGTCCCCACATCTTCCTTCTGCAAACTATCCATTCGTCACACCTGTTTCACATATGAATGGAATCACCTGGCTAATATCTCTACTTCCGTATTCATTGTATTCAGCACAACTGCCCAGGTTTGTCCATTTGATCACAGAGGGCAGAGTTTCTGTGCAGTACAGATCTCCACTGAGTATATGTGCATGGGTTCTTGATCCAGGCATCTGCTGTTGTCCATTTGGGTTGATTTGTGTGTGTGTGTTGT